TAATAGGTATAATTTATTTATGATGAGAAATTGCGTGCTGAAAAGTATTTCATAAATATGATTAATAATTATTACACTTAATTATTTTATAGTGGTGATCGCGTTTGTGTGTTTCGCCATTAGTGCGTTTCTATACTCACACTTAATTTCATCGCAGATATTTTCAACTATTGAAAACTATACTTAAGATCAATTTACGATCGCGTTATTGATGTCACTATAATATTAATTATTTAACAGTTGACGTGTTGGTTTTTAGATAGAATATTTTACAAAGATCACACGTATATAGCCTATATGATACTACGAGTAGTCTTAACATATTAATATAATTGATATGATATTGCTAATACTTAAATTTGATACTGCTATAACCGTGACTATGACAAAGAAATTAAAGGTTGATGCAAGAATAATGTATCTCCGATTTTTTTTTTTTTAAACTCATGTTTTAACATATTCTGTTAGGTAGGGAAAAATGTTGTCTTCATTTTGGTCRAATAACAATATATCCCCGACAGATAGATCAGTTAACACCATACAAAAGAAGATATCGTGTTTACATTTTTTGGAAAAGAACCGTAGATATCTAGTCTTGTCTCTGAAATAGGTATGTCTGATATGCATGAAAAAGAAAATACATGGATTTTAATTTTGGGGAAAAAATCACATATCTTCACTGAATTATTCTTAAATTAATTAATTATAATTATTTTAGTTAATTTAAAGGTTATAAGACTCTACGTATTGCTATATTATATAAATTTAAAGCATACAAATATGTTTGACAAACAGTAATTTGATTAAAGGAGGGAAGTTAATAAAATTGCTTTTTATGTCTCCTGAAAAATTACAAAAAGTGGAGATACCTTATTTTTTCACCGGACTACATAAATTGATTAGCAGCAGTTAATTCAAAAATAAGTATAGCGTAACATATAAATGGATATCTAAAAATTAGATTTTTACATCTTCCTATTCAACTGCCGAATTTAAATGCCTAGTAAAAACATTTATTTAGTAGTMAAATATCAGTGATAAACGATGAGAAAATATTATTGTTTAAAGCATGCGTGCTTTTTTACAAGTTTTTTTATATGTTATACCTATAATATATTATTACCCAAGTATTTTATGCGTTACTAAGAAAAAACACATTGTTCTTATTTGCAATATACTGCAATAAACATATTTTATCATATAATTTACTGTTATTACTTATTACCTAGTTATTATTCTTTGATTAATTTTTGTTTAAATATTACATATATTGTCATCATATTTTAGGTATATTGTGACAAGGTTTTTTTATTACTTTAGTAAACGTAGATGTTTTCCAATTTTTAAATCCATTTACATATTTTTGATTTGATTTTTTTCGTAAAATATTTATAATTCAAACCAAAAAAAATATTTACAATGTGCATTTATTGGTTGAAAAAATATATAAAAATAAACTGACTTTTAAAAATATGAAATCCAAATATCACTAAAGAGACTTGTATTGAATCAAAATTTTCATATTTTTGATATCCAAATAAATAATACACAAATTATAAATACATTAAGGCCTCGTGCCTGGGCTATAATGCATCTTCTTTAGTCAACGTGTATAACTATAGAGTTCATTGTTTACTTTTCAAACGTTCTAACATAACGGGATAAAATAACCCGGTAGAATTTTTAAGCCATTTAGTGTGTGAGATTTATTAGTTATCCATACCATTATATTTTGGTCCATCCTTGAGGAAAAGCGCTAGGGAGTATGTGAAAATGATTTCGTCATTCATTTCATTATTTCAGAATGTTTTTAAGTATCGTGGTATAGTTATCATATAAATATATTATATAGTTTTCTTATGAATATCAAAACAAAGTATTACTGCTAATATTCGATGAGTGTTTACTTTGCAGTGTGAGAGAAGAAATAAAACTTTGCGCCTGTTTGTTTTTCTCCAAATAAAAAGTGAAAGTTTTGTGCTACCAATATCAGAATAATTAATAATTGTCGGAGGACGGAGGTTTTCTTTTTTAATAAATTTATACGATTTGTACCTATCGTATTGTTATATTATTATAATGACCTTATGTTTGCAGCCGAAGCATCTGAAGGTGTGTGTGTATATCGGTGAAGGTTTGTCGGTGGTAGTTGATCAATAAATAAAATATACATTTCTTAATTATATTTTTTAATTTGATAATACAAAATTACAATGATAAAATCAGGTATTATATTATTATGCATGCTATGGTAAAAAAAACACATAATTATTATTTYTTGTGTCGTCCATTTATGTTTTTCGTAATAATTCTTGGTATTCAATACAGGTCTTTATGATTTACTCGAATGTGACTTTATTATTATACACTATTATTTATGAATAAACCGTCATATCGATGATTTAATGATATCTTATATGTTATGCATATATGTATAATACTCATCAAAGTATACAAAATAGGAGGGGATGTACTCGTATAAAATAAATATTTTGAAAGCTGTTTTAAATTATGGTTTACGCTGTAGTAATTAACTTTTGTAGCGTGAAGGTGCACGTATATGTGCAAGAATTCTAGAATTTTGTGGATTGAAAACAAAATTGATTTACCACCTTATTATACGTTTTTAGTGTGGCTATAGTCATGGTATAGTTGCTAATGTGCACGGAAAGGGAGTGAGTGTATACTAATCGATATTTCGCCGAATTTAAATTCAACATACCGGACTTGTGGATAATATACTTTTGAACTTGTGATACAGGTACCATTAAGTTACAACATTGATAATAAGAATATTTAATATTAATTCCATCTACTATGATAATAATATTTTAATAATTAAACAGGATATTTATTTGAATGCAATTAAAATTGTCATTAAGTTTGGTTTAATTTATTTTTCGGTTTTCGTGCGTTTATTTTTTTATCCATGTGTTTAATAAAAGAATTTAATTTTTCTATTATCTCTATTTGTAGTAATATAATATATATATATATATATTATCAATTAAATACTTAAAACACTCTATTATTTAAACACATTGTTGTTTATTAATTAATCAATTAATCCTCTACATATTTTTTTTTAAATGTCTTTAATAATCAAATGTGTGTTAAATTAAAATACGCAAAGAGGGAGCCTTTGAGTGGAGAGTCCCCTAATTTTTTAATAATTAATTCGTACATTAAAATATTACCATGTACTCCTATAATATTATGATTAATAATAATTTTTCTTTTTGTGATGTGGTCGTGCAGCTATAGCCGAGTCATGGGTAAGATGAGTGGGTCGGTGGTGATCAACGTGAAACGGCCGGTATACCAGCTGGATGATTTACACGATTGCAATGCGAACGGTGACGTGGAACTGGAGGCGACCGTCAAGCGGAAAAAAGTGGCCAAGCTGAAGTGGTCGGATGTAAAAACGGTGGTTCCGGCAATCGACTGGCTGTTCACCAACTACAATTGGTCCGAAGACTTCTTCAAGGACTTCGTGGCCGGGTTTACGGTAGCCGTGCTAAACATACCTCAGGGTATGGCGTACGCTATGCTCGGCAACGTGGACCCGACCGTCGGCCTCTACATGGCCATCATGCCCGTAATCGTTTACAGTCTGATGGGTACGTCAAGACACGTGTCGATGGGATCGTTTTCGGTCGTTTGCTTGATGACCGGCAAGGTGGTAAACACGTACGCCAATAAAAACTTCATCAACGCGGACGCCACAGCCGGTGCGATCGTTGATCAAGCGGTATCGCTGCAGCCGCATCATGAGGATACCGTGTACTCGTCCATCGAGGTGGCCACGGCCGTCACTCTGATGGTCGGCCTCATACAGATACTCATGTATGTGTTTCGGTTGGGCGTCGTGTGCACGATACTGTCYGAGACGCTGGTCAGCGGGTTCACGGCCGGTGCTGCTGTCCACGTGGTCACTTCTCAGATGAAGGAGCTGCTGGGCGTCAAGATCGATAACCACAATGGACTGTTCCAGATCGTGCTTACCTACTACGATATTGGCAACCGGATACGAGACGTCAACTTCGCTACGATCACCGTGTCCTTCGTCACCGTTGTTCTGCTGCTATCCTACAATTTGTACCTAAAAGCTTTCATCAACAAGCGCCTGTTCATGCCCGTGCCCATCGAGCTTATCACGATTGTCATCGGGACGGCTCTTTTCCAGTTCTCCACGTTCTCGGAAGACTTTCAAATCAAACTGGTGAGTGTATCCACTGTTATGGCTTCGCGTGGTTTTTCCCGAAGGGTTGGGGACATATTACCCGGCTTAGACATGGTGTGCATGAAATCACTTATTGAGCACCGAAAATTATTTATTTTTCTTGCCAATAGGAGTAGACGAGAATAGGGGTAGGGGGCCACAAGACGAACAACTGGGTCTGGGAAATAAACGTATTAACCATTTAATATAAAATGAGACTGTAGGCATTATCCATCTATACATAATTATATATTATTAMTATTAAAAACTTATATAAAATAAAGACTGGTGACTTTTAAGTGACTTGAATTATTTTTCGTTTATTACCTTCGGACTTGGTTTTCTTATAACACCACGCTCTAGAGTTTTAATTTGTAATTTAATTCATATTGAACGATGTAAATCCACTGTTTTAATCAAACTTCGAAGGTTACTCATCTAACTTAATTCGGTGGATGAGAAAAAAACACTATATAAAACACGCGTTAAATGCATTATGTTATATATACAATTCTGGGTTCAATTGTGACAAATTCCAAACCTTTTACTGTCATGAATATTGAATCATTACTACTTGAAGTCACAAATTAAAAAAAAAAAACAAATGTTACAAATAATACTAAGAAAGTGAGTACCAAACGAGAGAATAATATGATGACTTTGTTAGTATGTCACGTATTTGAGATTTTCTGGATGTTGCTTAACGCTTTATATATTATATGTTTTAAGTTTGTTTTCAAATTTTACCAATTTTCTAATAGTTTTCAAGGAAATCGTGTTTAACCTAGGTGATTTTTGTGTTTGAACCAAAACCATATTATTATATAGTTTTGCCACCATCGCGTTTAAATTCAATGATAATAATATGCTACTGTCCTGAAGTGTCGGGTGAACAAAGCGATAACAGCAGAAGTTTATTTGATTCTGATGTGGCAACACGCCAATGCGCTATGCGTAGGACCATAGACTATATAGATAATTTAATAATTAGACATATGACGGGAATAGAAAATATAGAATTGCGTAACTYGTAGATAAAATACTCTTCTAGTTTGCATTAAAACTAGTCGATACGGGTAGAGACCCAACCCTCTCTGAGCATATAATATACGGCCATGCTTACAGTGTTCTGCATATACCATATACGATATACATATACCTACTATACATTCGATATATATTATAGTTTGTTCGGGATGAATAAACACTCATGTGGCAGCATCATACGCGTGACTCTACAATTACTTCATAGACATTTAAATTTTTATTACGTTGCAAATACTATAAGCATGTTTGACAAAAATACGTAAATGCTGCTCTTATGCTCGCGGGTGGTTTACTTGTATATCATAACTCATAAGTAACATTGTTACTTAATCAAATCGGTGTACTTAATTTATTTTGCAATTTTAAAGTAACAATAAATTCAAATATTATTTTATAACTGTTAATATTATATTATTATGCATCATGCTATATCAACTGCTTTACTTAAACACATTATTTAGTTACTCGGCGCTATGTATACTTATTTATTAGTTATGTAATGTAATCACCTATATATTATACGATTTTAATTATATATATTTCTGATGAGTATCAACTTATTTTGTTATCTTTGATTGYCGAGAGGCCATCATTGCAGGTCTTATGACATGCGTGATTGACGTGATTCATGAACTATTTTGTCCGGGTCATAATTATATGATCGGCGGCAATAACATAATCATCTGTATTTTTTTAATTTCGTATATTGTATGCGTATAGGTAAATACAATTTCAATATATTCAACACATGCACGATACATGAGTGGTGATCTGTTTAATGTAACACTAAAGTAGATCATTGTTTGGAATATTTCCATCTATAAAAATCAAATTTTGGACAATTAGTTATTATTAGTTATAACTTATTATGTTATAAAAGTATTTAAAGTTTAAATAAGCGGAGTAGTAGACCTATATTTTTCGTTTAATAATTTTAAATAAGTACTTTCGTATAAATCACAATAACTACTTGTCCATAATTTTATTTTTGTACATCAAAGTATATTTAAAAAMAATATTGCTTAAAAAAAGAAATTAATAATTCATATTATCATTTAAAAAATTAAAAAATGATAAAGATACAAAATAGTAAAATGTTACGTGTGGATGAAATGAAACTTCTTTCAATCATTCAACCTAAAAAACATTAGATTCRCATTAAATAATCAGACTTACATTTACATTAATTAACATCATCACCTATATAAGTTCATTTTGTATTATCATTTATCGGTATACCAGTAAAGATAATTATTAGGTATAGAATAACATTATGATTTCATTTTTACTTATTTGAAGTTAGGTCGGTAGGGTCATGATGGCACCGATGTATGCCTGATGTATATTTATATGTTCGCATAACAAGTTCGATAGACAGTGTCGTAATAATAGACACCGCAACACAATTTATTTATTGTTTTTTTTTTTTATTTGTGAAGTTTCACTTCAAATATATATTTTACTAGATAAATGCTGTTACAAATTAAAATAAAGTAAAAAAACATTAGGAATTGTTTTTGAATTAAAGAGTTCAATATATCACCCGGTATACATATATATATAATGTAAGACGAGTGGAACAGGGGAAACGGATTAATGTTGCCGTTAAGTCGCTTTAGTGGTTATGTGCATCATTAACTTCTCCGTACTTTAGAATGTTATGACATTAGGTTTCGTTATTATAAGTACCTACTTGAAGGCGCCCTATTAGGACTATTATTATTACAAGTCATGTAACGTGCCATCGTGTTGAACATGGTTTGTTGTCATTGTTTTTTTTCTACTTTTTATCTCGAAATGGCTTACGTACCTACTCTACAGTAGTACAGTCAATATTATGAAGTAATTATTGAATTGTGCTGTGAATTAATTATTATTACTATAATTTTTACATTTTGCTGTAGTTTTTCGTACTTATTAATTATTCTACACTTCGTTTTAATAATTACGTTATAATTATTACTAGATATGACAATATAAATATTTAAATACATGGGTTCATGCATTATTTAAATAATTCATTGTGCACTTTTAGCTTTATGATATTTATATTAGTTTAATGGTTTAATTTATATTGTATTTGAAATCAGCCTTTTACTAAAACATTTTATTTCAAATAAATAATGATTTATTAGCTACAAAAAAATATTACACACCATTATTTTTAGAAAATGTTATCTTTATTGAATTAACCCACTATTCGTCTTAAAATGTAAGTACCAATTGTACCAATTTTACGATTTGTATTATACTTAATAATATTTTAACCTTGTGCTGTAATGTTGCATATAGCTTTGAATTAGTAATTTATATTTTTAGGTCCATACGCTAGGTAGCTTTTTTTTTTTTTTTCGTTAGTATCGAGAACCGGAGGAGGAACCATGGTGCCAATACTTCTCCTCCGGCCACCATCGTTTATTGATAAAAATAACCAATTACACATTTAAGTAGCTGCGACGGGCCAGTCTCCCGTTCGCTAGCTATTACAATAGGATGTTAACAATAATATCGAGAGCTTGCCTTCGGCTACATTTTTAAGAAACTCAACTACGCTAGGTAGCTCACGAGATATCAGTTTATTAACTTTTTTGTGCTCATAAAGTCATAACGAGAAATATTTGTAAATCTTTACGAGGTTTTTTTTTTTTATTTACACAAATTTACCCTCGGTGACATAGCAGGCCATTGGGTTACAATTTTTATTTTTTTTTACATTATTTACATCAACAAATTTATCATTTATASAGTTTTTATATTTTTCTTTATGAGTTTAAAATCAAAACGAATAGAATATTAACGACCGACTATAATTATAGGTACCTGCCTTAAATATACCTATTATCAATCCTATAAATAGATTTCAATTTGTTTATATGGTTTTGCATGATTATTAAATGATTGAATCTGTATATACTTTGAGCTTTATTTTATAGAATCGAACCATCAACTAATACTTAATTTKACTTGATACTAATATTATATGCTCAATATCGTCAATATCCATCACTTTTATGCAATATCTATTCTTCCTTTTTTTTTTCGAACTTGTCCAACAAGCTGATTCYATTACTTTCTTCCTACTATTGTCTATTACGACCTGAATTCGTGTTGTCGTAATAATATTGTTACCGTATAGCTAAATAAAATTGTATGGTACCTATATATACTTCTACAGACCAAAAACATAAATACCCACGCACAAAAACGTGTGCGGACTTTTATATTATAATACCATCATCACAAACAATTCAATRATTTTTGTTGCAGATAGGTGAAATCGAGAGAGGGTTACCCGTCTTCAAACCACCGCCGGTGAACTTGCTGATAAACGTGATCACCGAGAGCGTGATAATCGCTATCGTCGCGTACTCGATCACCATGTCCATGGCGCTGCTGTTCTCGGAGAAGCTCAAGTACACGATCGACACGAATCAAGAGCTGCTGGCCCAGGGCGTCGGCAACGTATTCGGTTCGTTCTTCTCGTGTCTGCCGTTCGCCGCGTCTCTGTCGCGTAGCGCCACCCAGCAGACGGTCGGCGGCCGCACCCAGATGGCCAGCATCGTGTCGGCCGGTCTGCTGGTGGCCGTTGTCTTGTGGATCGGCCACCTGTTCCAGCCGCTGCCTAGGTGTGTGCTGGCCAGCATCACGATCGTGGCCCTAAAGGACATACTGCTACAGGTGCGCGACGTGGTGCGCGTGTGGCGGACGTCTAAGGCGGACGCGGCCATCTGGATAGTCACGTACGCWACCGTGGTGCTGGTCGAGATCGACGTCGGGCTGCTGGCCGGAGTGCTCATGTCGCTGTTCTTCGTGTTCAGCCGAGGAATCGGCACCGGTGTCGTGGTACTAGGACGGGTACCCGAGACTGACCTGTACGTGGACATGGACAGGTACCGGCTGGCGGTCGAGGTGCCCCGCGTCCGGATCGTCCACTACTCCGGCAGCCTGAACGTGACCAACCGGAACGTGTTCCGGGAAAAGGTGCACAGCGTGCTGTCCCGGTACGACGGGCAGCTGGCACCCATCACCATATCGATAAACAGTGGCAAGGAGACGGTGGTCCGAGCCCAGTGCGTCGTGTTCGACTTGGCCGGTATGCATTACGTGGACAGCTCGGGGCTTACCATGTTCGCGCGGCTCGTCGACCAGCTYAACGAGGCGGGCCTGCTGGTGTACGTGGCCGCCGTGTCGGGCAACGTGTACGATTGCATGCGAGCCCGGCAACTCGGCACGGTGCAGTTCTTCCCGTCCGTTCAYGACGCCGTTGAATACTACAACAACTTGGAAGAGTTGAGAGCGTGATCGCGTCCGCCCGTCCGTCAGTCGCAGTGGTCCTTCCTTTCCGAGCGCGCGCCCCGAAAAAAATCGTCTCCAGTCTGTCTATATATTATATATTATTATTCGTATAAACATTTGTGTCTTCGTGTGAAAAATGGTTCGGTTTGGCGTTTAGCCTATGGAAAATAATAATAATAATAATAATAATAAAAAAWATATATATATATATAACAAAAACAAATTCCTAATCGATCGTATTCGTTGGCGCGAATAAAATATATCTCAAAACCGTTTCCGATCAGGGTAAACCGCACGTCTGTCATATAATAATTATATAATAAACATCACGCTATTATTATATTGCATGCAATCGATTCGGTCGACTAGAGCGCAGTTTTATTTTAGATTCTTTTCGTTTCCTGTCGTAGCCGAATGTGTWGGACAAAATGTCGGATAAACGAAGTAGTTCCTATGGTCTAGCGAGGTTAAATAATATAGTAGATAGGTACATCATCTTTAAAATGTCGTCTTAAATGAATAACTCGATGAAAACACATTGGTAACGCGTTATGCGATTTTTTAAGGACGTTATAATCGACGTATATCATTATAAACAAATTTATACTATAACCATTATTGTGCGATCGATTCGGTCCGTGTACATATTAATATAGTAAAACGGTGATCTCCAAAGAAAATTAGGCATTTGTACATAATATATTATATTATTGTTTATGTTTTATAACAGGTTGTTCAATCTTCGGTATAAAATATCCTAACCTAACGCCAAATGTGAATACTATAAATTATTACAACAATTTTCATTTTGATCGGTCAGACTTAATACAATATCATCGTCTTGGTTCAGCATATCCGATAATACCCGATGGATTTTTTAGTCAACATTTCAGTACGCCACGTTAATCGCTAGCACCTAAATAAATATATGGGCGTGGTTTCATGAATTAATTTTCAAACTGCAGGGAATTTTATTTGTATCGGCGTTAAAGGAAAAACGGTCCTCGGCKCCAGTTTTTTCAGTCTTAAACGTTTTCTAGTGCTTATATAAACCAATTTACCGCAAAATCTTAGCTTCTATAGCGCGGTGTTTCTGTTGCATAAAGAACTTTTTTAATAAAAATACATTTAGCAAAGTACGTTGAAACAATGTATAATAGTTATAATTATTGATATTAATATTACTATCGTCAAATAATTTTATCTTTTGGTTTCCGATAGTGTTTACGTTGAATAACGTATAGGTATGTTTCTTATGTTTAAAGATACATAATTTTTTTATTCACTTCTTCCTAAAGTCCTAGTAATCAATCACGGTGTGGTCTTTGATACACTAGTCGTTTATAATAAACAGCTTAATAACTTGAATATCACATCGGAGTTGTTACCTAAATATAGCTATATTTCATGTTGGTTCATATTCCACGGAATTTATTATTATTTTTTTTTTTGTTTTTGATATAGGCATTGTGAAACATTCGTAAAAATCACTAATCATCTCCTCGACGATAAGCCGCGGGTTACCCCAGCGTGATGTTTAGTATATGGTGTATACTGTATATAGGTACTCCTCAGTTGTTCACCTACCGCACACGTGTAACATTTTGCTGTGTTTGTAATAAACGTTGATGATGTACCATGTACCATTAGTCCATTACTTATTCTCGGTGAGTTATCGTCGTCGWGTGTCGTGAAACCTATATTAATTGGAAATCGATCGGTTGTTAAAAACCGCGGGTTTGTGATTAAAGGATTTCTTCATATTGCGTTGTTGATTTTTTTAACACCATCTCTACAATAAGGCCGGAATTCACGCCTTTTTCGAATTAATTACAAAAAAATATGTCGTTGTTAAAAAAATGTACAACACTTCAAAATAATTGTTATACCGAAATCTATACACCCATATATCTAACTGCGATACCATAGAGTATTGCCGGTAGTAGAACATTTAGATACTCAGTCTCTTTTTGTGGGAAAACGTAATTAATCGTCCGAATTTAATCCTTGTGTGATATAATATAATATAAGCCTATTTTTTTGTTAATTTTATTTTTGGATAAAMATATATAGCGTTGACTAAAATGTTCTAAATAGTATTTAGTGTACCTAATTATGTTTACATATACATATATCTTATAAATATATTACATGTATTGTTTCATAATAATTGTTATTTTTATACTTAATCAAAACAAAATAATATTGTTTTCATCCAATTTATATTTTTAAGTTCTGTTCGTCAATTTTTTTTTCGACTCATATAATGAAGTTTAGACACAGGTGGAGGACATTGTTCTATTGTTCTTATGTTATTTTATATAATATTAGCGAATAATACATTTAGAATGTTGTTCGTGGTTTTCAGATGATAAGTTGATGGAGTAAATTATCTTTCAAGTTAATAGTCGTGGACCGCGGTTATATTAATTTAAATAGCAATACATTATTACTCTGTATATATTTATTAAAAACTTTATATTTTGTTGATTTTCTAATCATTCTATTGTGATTTAGTATTTATAGTTATTTTTAACGTGTATTTATAAATGTTATATTATTATATAATAACAATATTGAATAGATATTATGCTATTATAATTATTTTTATATTATGTGACGTTCCGTTGAAACAGGGTTAGCTGCTAGTGGTACACATGTATTGTTTTACCGCGTTGAAATATAAAATATTTGAGCGATTAAAGCAGTTTAAGTGTACCAACATTATATTACTATTATAATATTGTACTTATATTATGCTTAATTTTTTTAATTTTTTAAAATAGTTTTTAATTATAATGATAATTATATGTCCTGTCGGTAGTTAAATGTTATTTGTCCAGAATTCATTTTGAAGTCTAGTTTAAATATACCGATCAAAGTTACCATACACCATAGCGATTCACCAACGTATTTACGAATTACAAAGCGCATGTGTATAATTACACAGTACATTATTGTGTAATTAGTTTAAATATTGTATTATGTATATTGATTGTTTAATGTAAAAACTTGTTTGTTACATTTAACGTGCTTGTATTTCTCGACAACAGAATACTCGCAAAAAGTCTGTGTTAAAACTGTTAAAAGTATTTCGTACTAGTCTCTAGATCAAAATTATTATTGAAATGTTTTATTACCAAATATATTTTATATTATATTATTGTATATTTATATCCAATAGCGTGTAATAATAAATTATTATGTTTAAAAAGTTTTTTACATTATTTTCGCCATCAATTATTGTTGTATAATATATAACCAATATACCAATAATCTATGAACCTATATAGGTACCTGTATACCAGTATGCAAGACAATTATTCGTCTTGACGAATAAAATATTCTTACACTTAGGTTTTTTTTATGTAGTTACTTGCACCAATATAAAATACATAACGTGGGTTTTTAATTATTTTCTTTAAACGTCATATTATCTACATTTAATCGCTTTACAAAATCTTGAGTAATATTATTATTTCCGTTATACAATAATTCATAGTTATTCATTGAGATAATGATTTCGTCAGAGCGTGCTGTAAGTTTGTATATCTAGAATACTACTCCAGATTGGTAGACATTATAAAAGTGGCATAGTGGATAAGATAAATATTAAAATGAAAGTAGGTATAGGAACTGTATATAATAATATTGACATAGTATAAGGTTTGTCTTTGTTACCTATATTAAAGTAGTTGCAAGGATATCTACATAATATACCTACTAATGTTTCGTCGTAAGAAAGTAAAAGCTGTATCAGTTCTATAATAGACATCCAAAGTAGCCGGCAGTTTCGGGTTAGTAAAACCACTAACCTGCTATTATAGTTAAAAAAAAAAAAAATAATACGACTAGAAATTTAAAGAAAACTAAATCTTGAAAGTTTGGAGCTATAGTCTATATACTCATCAACTGGTAGTAGTATATATTATATATAATATCCTTATAGTCGTAACTACAATAAAATATATTTGAAAAGGATTCACTGAATATAACTTAAATCCACTTGTTTGTTAAAAGATAATAATTGCATAATGTGCATTGTATACATTGCATACATGATACATATTCATATAGTATGTGCATTGGTAGGTATTTTGTAYTTATCGTATTTTCAACAGTCTATCTACAGTTTTACAACATTTTATTTTATTTTCTACTTACGATACTCATCTAAGTTTTCGAAAATTCGAAACTTACTCACTTTTAATGTCAAATTTTAAGATAGAAAAAAAATTGAAAGGTTAAAGTTGATTAAAAATAAGTTACTTAATTCAAATTTCGCATAAAAAAAGGAGGGGTGCAATTCAAAATAATTTTGTTTTGCTTCACATATGCATGGAAATGATTTAAAAACTTTTTAGTTTCAAAAATATGTTTTATGTTAAGTTCTTTACTCAGCTAAAAAYCCGAATGAAATTTAGAGTAGTCATGCATTTAAAATATTTCATGATTCATTTAACGACATGTATACCTATACATTTTTTTTTTTAATGAATAGGTAGAATTTAGGTTATATTCAGCGAATTTTTTATTATAGTATAATAACAAAATGGAAATTTGATTTAAAATTACAGCTGAGATTTCAAATAATGATCTATTTTAAAGTGGTAAAAATATTGTGGGTATAATATTATGTTGATTTTAAATAACAAATGTTTATAGAAATGGTTTTAAAAGGTTTATCATAATATATTGGCATAGTTTCACATGAAGACTTATTATTATAAGTAAGCCAGCGCAACGTAAAATATTTTAAGGTCAAATTATTTCAACAAATTCTAGAAGGTCCCCCGATGTCTATAAATATATTACRCCAAGCGACTGACATTCAATTTAATGTGTATACATTGTTCACAATAATATAGGTACAATTATTTATTTACTATACGACTTTTTACGCTATTATACCAAATATAATATTATATCTATGCGATGTCGTTATGTAAAAAACAAAGTTAACGTCAAAACATTCTGTCTACATCAACGTGTAATGTGTAATGAGTTAGTGCARATGATGTTRAACTTTTCCGATATCCAATAATTTAGTTTGATTGATTGAGCAATAATGCGACCAAGTGATTGAGATATTGCTGAAGTACYTTGTGTAGAGTACGGTTAGTAGTAGAGTAGGGGTGACTATATAGTAGAATATCAATTTAGCTACAGAAGAATTAGTAGTAATCGCCGTTGTCGGTGGCGTATACATAACTTTCATATGGTGGGCGATGGGTGGGCCAGAGCTGTGTAAATAAAACTTAACCTATCAGCTAAGTACGAAAAAARG